GAATGTTGACCTCCCGACGGTCGTCCAAGCCGCAACAATGATCCTTGTGTAGAGTCAGTTTCCTTCCCTCAACTCGCAAAGCTACCCCCTCCGACCAACTGTCACTACGTAACATAAGAAGGGTGCGTTCAAGCAGAGCACACCCCCAAGAAAACACCGCACATGCGCAGCCGAAGCATAATGAGGCACTGCGTGCACAACAATTGTGCGCAGTAGCTGCGCCTCACCAAGTACCAGAGTAGCCCCGTAGTAACAACAATCTTTCTTGATCACATAGCAACGCCTCTACTCATACATCAACTGGTACTCCATCACACAACAACAACTCTTCGAGTAGTAACAATCGGTCCCAAAATAATACGTAGTTCGGGTAGGAACCAGTCATCACAGTAACTTCTGAAAACAGCTGCAACAGTAGCCTCGCAGGGAGCCACAACAATCTGTTTTTTATCACAGTCAGCAGGTTCCCAAGGTCAGGCGGCAGTTCTGAACTAGCTAAGTGGCAACACCGACCGCACCCAACACTAGGCCCAGATCTTGCTGAGCTCAACTCAGAATGCCCTTTGTTGCCTGGTAATAGATGTGATGTGTCAGCCAATTCCTCATCCGACAACGTCCCCCGCCTCTATGTCCAAGTCCAACAAACGATTTGCACTTCAGTGACTTCACTATCCTTGTGCACAGACAGCTGCGAGGAGGCAGCCAGACGCACACAGACTGAATCTGGCCAGTCCTATGCCCTCCACACTTCTTCACTGCACTAGCGACCGCTCCCAGCAAGCAGTATCACACAGCAAGTGTCGCGGTTGATATGACAAAGACACGGCGCCAGCAGCAGCGAGGCACAGTGGTAGCCATATTCGTAAAAACTAACCAGCAACCGCGTTGCAAAGGCACCGCAGCGAGCCGCAAGAAATACATCACGCAAGACACCACGGGAGACTCCGGGCAAGGCACAACAATGAAGCGTATCAGCAGGTCCAGGCTGCTTAAACGCAGTAACTTACAGCAGCACAGAGCCAATGCACATCAACGTGGACTGTGAGCAGCAATCTGGTCAGCAGCACCGACCAACATACTTGCAGATGTTGTATGTACAGGCTGTTGCCATAAGCAGATAAGTGCCCTTACATCATCACTCCCATCCCTTTCTTACTCTCTCTCTCTCTATATCTGATTGTAATCAGAATGAGAGGAGAGCTCTAGCCTCACTATCGCCTTTCCTCCTTCCGCTCCTGATACCTGTCCGCTTCGACCCCCCCCCTTCATCATGACTGTGCCCACCTTCACTCGGTGCATCTGACCCAGGCCCCAGTCAGATCTAGGGAGAGCATCATTGCAATGCTCAAAAGTGGGCACGATCACCACCTCGACCAGAAAACAGCGGACTGTGGGCTCATCAAAGACGACCTCGAGCACGGGGAATGACGTTGTCCTCGCTACACTACCCACCAAAGGCACATAGTAAAAATGAATCTTTCTGTTTAAAACACGGGCAGATGCATACGAATCTTTCCCGTTGTTGAGCTCTGCAGTCTGACACCGCAGCTCGACCTTCCGCTCATTCCGCATCGCCAACACTTAGAGGTGAGTGTCGTTGCCCTTCCTCTCTCTCTCTCTCTCTCTCTCTCTCTCTCTCTCTCTCTCTTTCCTCCAAACCATCCTTGTTAGTCCCCAGGTCATGGTATGGTTATGAGTGAATGAGGATATAAGTGTTAGATATTAACCTGTCTAATCTAGATGGAAAAGGAGGGACTAGTGCTAGTGCTAGGGTGTCATGCCTTTTTAGCGCCTACACAAGTTGAAGAGGCACACACAGTCCCCCAACCCAAATTGTCTCCTAGGAATAGACTGGATCAATGAATTGGAAGGCTTCATAACGGACGCTGGGCCCGGTTCCCAGCACGTGCTGATGTATCAGCTTATCATTGTATCTCAAGGGACGCTGGACCCGCTTTCCAGCAGGTGTTGCTCCCCACCAATAGACTGGAGCCCCCAGCAAGATAGATAGGAGTGCGTGCTCTTATCATCACTCCTATCTGTTGTTGCAAGGGGTTCTTTAAGAAAAAGAAAGAAAAAAAAGGGCAAGTTGAATATAAAGCCTGGCCATTATTTTTGGTTGAAGACGGTAGTGTGAGTATGCCCTCAGGGCATACCCACACGAGGACGTTCCCGTATGTACCGGGCTGAACCTGACCACAGTCACATCCTCAGAAAGGTTGAAAAAGTCCCAGTGTGAGTATGCCCTCAGTTGGTAGAGCCATGGACTGTCGAAATGGAGACCTGAGTTCAAATCAGGATAGATATTAAGAAAGGAAGCCGGGTCTGCACCTAGCCATCGTGGGCAAGTACTCTGCACATAGTGTATCATACTTATACGAGAAAAATTGGATCTACCGATGGGCCTGACACAGTTAGTATACCCATAAACTGTTGAAACACAGACCCGAGTTCAAATCCAGGTGCAGTCACATGAACACAATAAGATAATTCTGTTGAAACACAAACCCAAGTTCAAATCCAGATGCAGTTACTTGGGCCGGTCAGCTCAATGATGATATCTTTTTCAGTTTTCCTTCCAGGAAAAAAGGGTGGTGACCTTGAGATATTATCATTGGACTAGCCAGCCCAGGTAAATTCAATTGTCTAATCTGACAGTGACCTTATTGGAGCATGAGGCTGCACGCTGCCCCACAGGCCCCACAGGGGCTGGGTGGGCAACACCGGCCAGGGGACAGTCGGTAGCAGAGCGACCGAGCATCATCTGAGTGGCCAGCCTCCCCGATTACCCGTCCTACTGTGAACATCACCAGAAACTGTGGGGGGACCAATGGACTATCTGCAGGTGGTGTGGGCCAAGCATGCTCAGGAAGGTACACGAGTGTCGGGAATTGAACCCTTGACCTCCTGAACGCCACTAGCATGCCTTACCATCTGAGGGCATATTCACACTAGCACGCATTTTCATAAAATAGTAAATTATAGGTGATTTTTTGGGTCACAAGGGCTACGTATTTTGCGTTTTCACGCAAATGGGCACGTAAATGTCAGTGGCCTGGACAGCCGCGGGGTAACGTATTTTGCGGGAAGCTCTGGAGGTCTCCGCAATTGCGTATTTCTTTTAGACCTGTTTCTTTCTGGAAACAAAAAAACGAATTCGACGTTTCGTGGGAAGCCCTCATAAGAAGGGAAAAAAAAACGGCAGAAAGGGATGGAATTTTTATGCATCGTGCTGTGTGACCCCTCGGCCCGTATAATCGCATTCGTAGAGAAGGTTGAGACTGTGTCGTTTCTGTTTTGTGTTGTATACAGGTGTGCTGTGTGACTGGTAAGTGCCGTAAAATCGCAAATTGGCTCACATATAATTTGCGATTGTACGTGCTAGTGTGAGTATGCCCTGAGCTAGGCCGCTAGGTAATGATGACATCTCGAGGCCGTTAGGTAATGATGACATCTCGAGGCCGTCAGATCTGGTCCCTATGTGGAAGGTACACGGATGAACTGTTGGAGTGCAGACCTAAGTTCGGATGGAACTAGACGAATGAATACTTCTTAATTGCCTGGGGCCTGTCAGTCCGACGACGAAACATCGAGGAAGAAGGCCTCTAAGGAGTACTATGTTCGTTTTTGGGTTTCTGCTGATGCGGGGGGCGAGACGTGCCCAGTTCACATGGACACGGCGTCAAACTGGACCGTGTTCATGCTGACTCAGCACAGTGCTGGCAATCGTCTGAAAAGGTCCCAGGACTCCAGGAGTCTTTTTTTTTTTAATTTTAGACTGGACCCGTTTGAATTCCTCTAGCTTTACTTCGAACGCGGTTGGAAAAGTCCTAGGGCCTCCTTGAGTCTCCTCCACTACTCAACATTCTACATGCATTTTCGGAGTGGTGCAGAAACTCGCCAGTTATCTGCTTTTCTGCATCTCTGCATAAAGAACATCCACATTCAGGAGTTTAACCCAATCCTCATTGCTAGTGGGACCTCGCCCCTGGGCTAACCACCGTAACAAATGAAGTGGAGGACTCCGAGGGAAAAGGGCAGGAAACAGCACACAAGCAGTCGGTCCCGCTCCCTTCACCGTCCTGGTCAAGTCCATACCCACCGCCGGATGGTCGCTACCGTTGACTAGGGTCTGAGCAACTGACGCCAGATTGAATCGCACGGTCATTATTGTGGGGGGCGGGCGGGCGCTTGGGACGGCAGGGGGTCGCTACTTGCAGAGGCGGCACATGTGGCACGCCGCGATGCACCCAAGCAGGCAGTTTCTTTTTTTTTTTTTTTTTTTTTTTTTTGCTACCAAGAACAGCCCGAGTACATGCAAGAGGTGCTGGTAAGAGCAAACACCGCTAGCACGCTCAGGGAGGCTCCATCTATTGGTGGGGAGCAACACCTGCCGGAAATCGGGTCCAGCGTCCCTGTAAACATCCAGATTATCACGAACGTGCCACATGTCATAATCTTCATCCTAACCAATCGTAGTGGCAACACGAGAGCACGCACCATCCAACGCAATGAGCAGCATTGATTCCCCTCTTTCCGAGGGGATGAACCGCCCATCGCAATCTAAAAGCTTACACCCATTCTGAAACCCTCGTCTATGTCATACGAAGACCATAAAACTCTACGAGAGGAAGGGATATTCAGAATAGAAAAATAGAAATTCAGTCGAAGCGATCCCGCTTCCGAAGTCAGCAGTGAACCACCTGAGCCGCCAGGTGGCATATTCATGCCACACAACCACTCGATATTAGTGCCCACGTGGCAGCACCTCCAACTTCCGGGAATCGCGAGTTATGTGTTGATACCAAACACCGGCAGTAAAATCCTGAGCGAAAAACCGCTACCAGCCAGACAAAGTCAAACCATTATTATGGTTGATCCCATCATCTCTCCCGAATTATCCGACAATCGATCGCACCTTCAGCAGTTAAGCCGAAACCTCACACGGAGAGACAAATCTTTATATTAGCTACCCGGCCGCCGCAATCCGCAAATCCACCGAAGGGTAAAGCCATGAAACCTGTCCCTATCCCACCCCTTCACGCCTCCCTCCCGCTTCCCACCTCCTCGTTTGGCCTTCCTGTTCGCAAAACAGTACGATCCCCCACCCCTCTCGCCCCCAACCCCAATCAAACCCCACAACAGGCCCGAAGGGAGGCAGAATGAAAGCCAAGCCAATCACACGCACTGGTCCCCGAATATCGGCGGCAATTTGGTTGTTGCTACTGATCAGATCGATACACGCTGCATCACACTTGTTGTTATTCTTGTCTTGGAGAGCGTCGTCGTTCCTGGCTGCATCTCCAACGATGAAGCTGCTGGCCCAGAAGCCATTCCCGAAATCTTCGTCATCGTTTTTATGAAAACCGCCAAACCCTTGTCCCTCCTCAAAGGTCTCGCGGCCGCCCAACTTCAGATCCACGAACTCCACGTAAAGGGGCTGCCCCTCTTCCAAGCCCCGTAGAGCATGACCCTGCGCAAACATCTCACGTTGCCAAACACAACCAGGATCATTCGATGACGCCACCTCCATAGATGTTGTACTTAACAGCATAGCCGTTGTGGACTCTAACTGTGTAGCTATTGCTGATGCTGTTGTTACTTTTGATGATACTGTTGTTGTAGACGCTGTTAATGATGCAGTCACTGCGGTCGATGGCAGTGCCGCTAATATCAGTGATATTGATGATGTTATCAATGATCTTGATGCTGTCGATGCTGTCCGTGTCTCACTACCTGGCAAACCCCCTGCATGTCTCCTCGCTAGAAGGCCAGCAAGCATGTCTTTGACCTGCTGCAGCATCTCCACGCAGTCGTAGAAAACGGCGATCGCCCGCGCTCTGTCAATCGCATCCCGCTGTTGCAAAGAGATCAGCTCGTAAAGCTCATCATCCCAGCCGTCGTAGGTTTCCTCTCCCTCCAGCAGAACATCGTGTGGCAAATCTCCATTCACTTGACACAACGCTGCGAGCATCTCCTCCAACTGCTGTTTATAGGTCATCGCAGTAGAGAACGCGGACACTTCCTCCTCATCCCGCAAGTCAAAAGGGGATCCCCGCAGGCCCCCTTGAAGCGAAGTCTCCATACCTTCCCCCCTCATAGCTGATAGTAACGAAGCTGCTGCTGCTGATCGTCAACGTATCGGATTACTTCCACGGCTGGCGCTGCCCCTGTCCGCACGTCACGGGGCACCTGCGCCACCAACAGCGAGCGCCACGTGGCAAGAGGCCACGCGCGTCTGCTGGGCACGCCTATAGACCCAGCGCCCGGAACAACTCCCCCGGGCACTAGTCGTGCTGGGAGCCCGGGCCTTGCCGGACTGGCAGCAACGGGTGCTGTGACGAACCACTTTCTGTAACGCGCGATTTTCTGCGCGGTTGCAACGAGGGGCCCTAAGCTGGGAAGGTTGGGCCAATTACGGGAGATCGGGATCGGTGGAGAATTGCATCAGTGTCCTCGCTTTTTCGTCCTTTTTCGTCGCTTCTTTTTCGAA